GCCTTGCCATGTGCTGCACATGGAACCCACCTTCGCTTTGAGGTCGCCTGTGACAATTGCATGACGTGACACGACAGAGCGAACAGCTGACTGTAAGCGGTCCTGGAAAGCGCCTTTGTGGCTGTCACTCGCATCTGCTTTCACGTAGGCGAAATGTCATGCAACAACGCATGTTTGACATTCACGTAGCAGTCCAGGACTCTTCCCGACACCCATTTCACCGAAACGACCGCCGGGCTTGCCCTAAGGACAAAAGGCTGCCCAGAACAGCACGGCATAATCGATTGTAGTGTGACTACGAAAATGAACACTCATTCTGCAGAAGAAACCTCACCTTCCCCGAGAGGTGAGCCTCCGTGACCATGACTATATCGAGTTTGTACTGATCAGTATTGATACGCCACGCAAGATAACAAAATGTGCAGTAAGGCGCCAACTTGTCCTCATCATAGGAAAAACGCACGTCACGAAGTCAAGCCACCGAACACAAAGTAAATAACAGCGAAAACAATCGGTTTTGGCTAGAAGCGGAAAATCAAGCAAGCCAAATCGTAGCATGTCAGACAGTTTTTAAATGCGTTCGTATAGACCGTCGCTTTATACGTAACGGCTAGTGCCGTTTGCAAACCGCTACACTACGGCAAGAAAGTTATTACGCACTTGGGAATTTGTCACTGTCAGTCAATCACTTTCTATGACTGTCTGTCCTTTCGAGTTGCGGAGGCATTAAGTGTCAGTGCTTCTGAAGTTCGCGATAACTGCATCAGTATTTGAGCTTCGACAGAAGATAACTCAATTCTGGAGCAGAATCTTTCGAGACACTTGTTCCGGTCATTCTCAGGGTTTTCAGCCGGTCGACTGAATAAGTCATATCCGTTTTACCTTCCTTTCTGGAAGCATTCGCAAAACGTGCCCAAACCATTGTAGTTGAAACTTCTCAGTCTGGTCTCTCAGATATCTGTACCTCTGACCATGTTGAGAAGCGTGAGTCCAGCGATTTGTCTATGAAAGGCCCATTTCAGCCAATTATACCGGGATTCGAAGTTTTTCAGCAATGGCCCACGATTCATAACCGTAGGTAAGCATGGGGATGAAGATCGACTTGCGCACCAAGAGCTTAGTCATCTAACTCAGATCTGCTTTGGTCACAATGGCTCAGGCTAGTTCACGCAGAACGCCACTGGCTACTCCAATCTGTTGGTCGATCATTTCTGCAAATTTTCCATCACTAGTGAACACGACTCTGAGGTACCTGAGTTTCTTCACTTGCTCCACTGCCTCTCGTCAATCTGAAGAGAGCAACGGGCAGAAGAACGAGAAAGCACTAGGCTTTTCGTTTTAAATGCGTTCACACGCATGCCGGTTACATCGCACTCGACTGCGTACTGTTCCATGAGTTTCAGAAGACGCTAACAAAACGAGGTGGTCTGCAACTAGTAACCTCCCGTCTCCACATCTCCTACGCTGATACGATCATCGTCTGGCTGCGCCGGACTATCCTATCCATGTACAAAACAGACAGGAGACGGAACAAAACGAAGTCTTAGCCGTTTGTGACCGTTAGTCAGAAAATCATTTCCTGACGCTTTCAACTCCATAGCTCGAAATAATCGTTTTATATCGCTGATCAATGTTGACGTATCCGTATGCATTGTTATATGGTCGGTTATCATTTAAAAAGATGTCAGCGTGCTGCGTCAGACCAGAGTAAATCCTAATAATCTTAACGAGATTAAGACATTGATGTTATAATTCTGGTGTTTTCTGCACTCTCGGCATCTGCATGAAATTTGCTGTCATAGTGGCTGTTCTAGCAATTAGGCACTCCTCCAGCCGCCAGAAAAATATCGACCGGTTTTCAAGTGAAAATGGTTTTCTCCTCAATCTGAAATAATCTGTCATGCCTTACTATCACAACAACAACAGTTTATTGCCTGAGCTTCAACACGAAGAATGCCGCCTTTCAGCAAACAATGATAACGAAGAAATGAAATACAAGTGAGACACCGGGAGAAACAGAGCAGACCAGCTGTGATCACAGGTCTCTAAAAAATTAATCCACCCCTAATTTTTCAAAAGAGGCAAGTTCTAAAGCTTTTGGGTTAGAATGAATTTTTATAGGTAGGCGCACGTGTGTAGATTATGCGGTAGACTGACCTTGTAAAGTGAATGCTTGAATGGCATCGCGAAAGACTGTTTTATAGGGAATGCTCCGGACTATTTAGGATGTTCATACCGTCTTAGAACTGCGTTACCGAGCCAGACTGAAACTCTTTCAGCTATTAAGTGAAGTGGGAAGTCACTGATTTTCGCCACTGAATGTGTAACGCGGACCAAGGTGGTAAAATCTTTCGCAAGGAGACCTCCGATGAATACAGGAGAGCCGTAGGCGAAAAGTGGAATTATGCAAGAGATGACAAATTTTTATATCACTGGCAGATTGACCTTTATAGCCAGAAGTTTTCGCGTATAATGCGATGCGCCATGTATCTTATGCATTATCGAGGTCACGTGTTGAGA